AAACAGAATCAGAAACCTTAACCTATGGAAGGTCAAGACTTGTTGCTGGGTCTCACCTGTGCTCTGGGAGAGTGGAGGTGATTTATGGGAACACATGGGGCACAGTGTGTGATGCTGTCTTTGACCAGCAGGATGCAGAGGTTGTGTGTAGAGAGCTGGACTGTGGGGCTCCTGTACAGGTGCTGGGAGCAGCTGCTTTTGGTAAAGGGAAAGGCGGTGTTTGGTCAGAGGAGATTCAGTGCAGAGGAAGTGAATCTCAGATACACGTCTGTTCACGATCATCTTCACAGATGCACAGCTGTTCACATGACAATGATGTGGGAGTGATCTGTTCTGGTTGAGTATTAACATTTGGCAGCTCTTTAGATGAATTGCATACATATGTAATACACTGCTGTTGTTTTGTTCAATTATCTTAACTCTAGTTTCATACTGTTTAAAAGAGCTGTCAGTTGTTTGTCCAGGTTACACAGATCTCAGGCTGGTAAACAGTTCAGACTCTTGTTCTGGAAGAGTGGAGCTTCAGTTCCTCAAAGAGTGGGGCACAGTGTGTGATGCATGCTGGGATATGAGAGCTGCCAGTGTCCTCTGTAGACAGCTGAATTGTGGGATTGCTGTGTCTGTTGTGGGATCAGACTGGTTTGGAGAGGGAAGTGATGAAATCTGGGCTGATGTGTTTGATTGTGACGGAAATGAAACAAAACTCTCAGAATGTTCCATCTCTTCATGGAGTCGAGCTGAATGTTCTCATAGACGAGATGTTGGAGTCATCTGCTCTGGTGAGCACATTCACACCACACTGAAGTCATGGGTTTCAGAATAAAACTACACATTTGAACAAATGTGGTATATTTTAGATAAATATTGAATGACAAATAAATACTCTCCAGGCAGTAAAGCTCATCAGGGGAACTGCAGCTCTTCACAAACTCTCAACTGCAGCTCCACACAACACCTGTCAGTAAAAAACTTTGGTGAGAAAATCAACATCTGGGCAGATTCTTTAGTTAGTAGTGATCAAAAATATGTATGTACAGTCACTGTTTTTCTGTCTCTGAATATCAGGTCGCAGGTCCATCAGGCTGGTGGGTTCTGGGGGAGACTGTGCAGGGAGGCTGGAGGTTTTTCACAGCGGCTCATGGGGGACAGTGTGTGATGACTCCTGGGATATTAAAGATGCTCATGTGGTGTGCAGACAGCTGCAGTGTGGAGTGGCCCTCAGTAACCAGCAGGTACCAGCCTGGTTTGGTCCTGGTTCTGGACCCATATGGCTGGATGAGGTGGAGTGTGAGGGGAATGAGACGTCCCTGTGGAGCTGCTCTTCTCCAGGCTGGGGAAAACATGACTGTCAACACAAGGAGGACGTAGGAGTTGTGTGCTCAGGTAAACAATAATGTAAATAATTATTTTATTTAAACTTTAAAAGTTTTCTAAACTACTCACTCGTCCACACCGGAACATAACACTACTGAATCTACAGCACAAAACACGCAGCGTGACCAATCTAACCCGATTCCCAAACTAAACTCTAATCAGTCAGTTCTTTTTAGTGAATCACAGACATACAGCTTACAGCTAACTTTGAGATTTAAATCAGTGTAGTTACAGACTGGATGTTCATATGACAAAGTGCAGCTAAAGATATGCATTTTGCATTTGGTCAGTATTAGTATTTTATATATATTAATGAATTAAGTATTTTTGTTTGTTTGTTCAGTGTTGTTTTTTATATAAAAATTAATGGAACTATTAATGAACTGTAATCGTTAGGATTAATCAGAATCATTGAAGCCTGTATAATTCAAATCCCTAATTAAAACACTGTCATTCCGTGAGAGTTGAGGTTGATTCTCATTCTTTTCCATCTAGAGTTTAAAGAGATCAGGTTAACTGAGGGCTGTGAAGGGAATGTGGAGGTTTTCTACAATGGATAGCACTGAGGGCTGATGGGAATTCAGTCTTTGGTGCTGGTGAAGGTGTTGTGTGGCTGAACAGAGTCGAGTGCAGAGGGAATGAGATTCACCTGTGGGACTGTCCTCTCTCCCTGAATAACCACACTGACTGCTCACGCAAAGAGCACGCTGGACTCTGAGGAATATTATTCATTTGATCATTTTAGAGTGAATAATGTTTGTGTATTTAAATCAGTCATGATTTTTAATGTGTTTTGACAGATTTGCCAGATGTGTCAGTGTCCGCTACTCCTGCCACAACATCATCAGCTTCTCCTCCAGTTTCTCCTTCAGTGCGCTCAACATCAGTCACTCCTCCACAAACTCCTCCAGCAGCGTCTCTCTCCGTCCCCCCAGTGCTTGTGATTGTTCTGGGAGTTGTGCTCTTACTGCTCTTAGTGCCACTGCTTATACTGATTCAGCAGAACAGAGTGATGAGGAGAGGTAGGAGAGATCCAGAGACTGTCATATTGTGTCTTATTCAGTGTGTGATCAGTCATGTGTTGTGAACTGACAGCAGGTTTGTCTGTCTACACTCACAGCTCTCTCTAAGAGGAGACACAGGACGACGACTGAGGCCGTTTATGAGGAGATTCAGCACAGACACAATCACTTCACTCAGAGGGGTGAGACATGAGCCATCAATATCATTTAATAGCATTAATAAGAGTCTGTCAGACAGTTGATGTTCATCTATTATTAGTCCTGTTAAACCTCCTGCTTCAAACCACAGAATTCCTGACAGAAAACCACAGAGCTGCAGGTGCATGTTTATATGTGTGTGTGTGTGTGTGAGTGTCTCTTCCTGTGAGTATTTTTAGATTGTCATAAGGAGGTGTTCATATGTTACACTAAGTGTTAGGTGCAGGTGTGTGTGTGTGTGTATTTCTGGATGGCAGTGAGGAATGGGTTCATGTGAGGATACTTGTGTGTTTACTAACAGGTTAAAAAAAAGGGGGATTTCTGCCTATAATGCTTTTAAAATGTGAATAATTAATATTTGTGCTGTGTTGTCTTCTTTATGATCCAAAGGTAATGAGGATTCAGTCTGTTTGTAATGATGAACATGTTTCTGTTCTGCTCTTCTTTAACAGGGAGTCTCATCTCTGAAGAACTGCATTCTGGGTATGAAGATGCTGATGACCTTCTCTCAGGTTAGAGAGATGAAGCACACATTCACTCCGCATCACACTCAAATCCTTTTTTAAAAATTCGCTTAAATAAATAAGTGAAGTGAACCAATTCTATTTCATATTTGATTAATGACCCAATACTATTCAAATACTGCTGCTCAATTATATATTAACAGTTTTCTCTCCTTTTTCAGCAAAAGAGTTCAAGACCGCATATTATGATGATGTCACCAATGACAGTAGCCTAAAAGGTCAGTGACTTTTTTAATTGATCACATGATTCATTACCAAATGATTAATAAATTCATGATCTGCCACAAGAAGATATTTTGGCTTTTGTATCCAAACATATTGTGTGTTGATGCAGAAGAGATGCTGAAGGAAATCACACCGGGATACTATGATGACGTCATCACTGATGGACTGAAACCAGATCGTGAGACAGGTGTCCCTCTCTTACTCTACAACAGCATATAATACACTTTTAAATTAAAATGTTACAGTATGTTTAAGATAGATATTTAAAATTTGTTCTGAATGTAATGAATGTGTGTCTGTGATTAATGTGTGAATTTGTAGAAGACACACCTGAGAGCTATGATGATGTCATGACGAGCGGACAGAACTCTGATATCAAAAAAGGTGTTTTACTTTTTTATCAATTAAAATATATAATATTTAAAATCCAGATTGTTACAGATAATATTTTAAATTACTGTCTTTAATGGGTTTATTGGCTCATATTTAATTTTGAGTCATATTTTTATGTGCAATGGACACACCAGAGAATTATGATGATGTCATCATTAATCGACGGATCTCTCAAGGGGTAACAGGTGAGTTGCACAGAACTACTTTTTTTTATCAGCCTTTCCATGTTTACATGAGTATCAGACATTCGTTCTGTGTAATCGAGTCACTTAGGGGGGAAAAGTATCCTTCAAATGAAATAAAGTGTTTTATAAACTGATATGAGATGTTTTTATGTCATTCTTGATCAGAGAGAGTTCAGGAGGAGTATGATGATGTGATGAGTGTCAGTGAAGATGTAAGAAACCTGTTGGGTAAGTTACTGTAACCCTTTTTTTCTCATTATATTAATATCTTTATTTCTATTTTAATATTTTTTAGTAAAATAAAAATATAAAAAATTTTAGGCTTAAAATAATTATCCAATTACAGCATTTGACATGATTTAAGATTTTGTTTTTTAATAACAGATTACGATGATGTGGAGGAAGAGGTAAACAAAGAATCTGTCTCAATGATCACACCCACTGCCTCAGTTCAACAAATTTGAACCAATTTTGAGTGATATTGTTATTAATATGTCAAATCTCAGGTTTTTATATATTTCCCCATTTATTTGTATTAAAACTGTTATGCCTTTATGAAATTGTTGTATTGTTTTTTGGCCTTGTTATAGCAATAAAAAAGAAGACAAATTTTTGTGTGTATTTCAATAAGACATTATACAAACCCTTAAGTCAAATGTATGATCTTACCTTATAAAGCACAACCACAGTGATAGTTGAAGACATCCTAAATATAAGCCCAAATGACCATCAGTGATTCAACAGCCCTCAGCTTCCTCGCAGCAAGTAGGCTACTGGAGTTTTGTGAGTGGATAATGCTGAAAAAATATTTGCATTTATCTTGGATGCATTAAGTAACTTTCCAAACTTTTCACCAAAAAAAAAAAAAAACTAACTTTTTTTATCTTATATGATCAGGTGTGTTTTTAGCCAATAAATAAATATGCATATTGCCTGTCTGTTGGGCATTTCTTTTATACAGTATGCATCATTTATCAGGCTGTAGAAGTGTTGAGTTATATATGGTATAATGTAATGTAAGGCATGTAATAATATAACTGTAATAATATAACAATATAATTGTCACGGTACTGTGCCGGAGGGATTGACAGAGACGAAGATCAAGGAAAGTCTTTAATTTAATTCACATAAAGGGTAATCCACACAAGGAACGGCTGGAGACATACGTACATGATGTTTAAGACCCGACAAACACTAACTGAGCAGACAGGAACTTAAATACACAGGTAAACAAGGACAATAGACAAGACACACCTGAACCAAATGACATAATCAACAGGAGACAGAAACTAGGTCACACTGAGCACATGGGGAAAGAAAACTCAACAAGACGTCCATGGGTGTGACAATAATATAACAATATATCATGACTTAACAATGCTTAACAACAGAATATTAGAACCCCAGTGCAGCTCATGTCATCCATCAATATAACACAAGCACAGTTCTTTGGATGGAAACATAGCTACTGCTAAAGTGTATTTAGGCTAAAACATTCTATCACTCTGTGTATTACAATATATTATAGCAGAAGACAAAAAGTAAAATGAATGTGCTGTGAAATGAGCTCTACATAAAATAAATTAAATTTGTAGCTGTGAAAAATAAATGAACATTAGAATTTTTTCTGTCAGAAAAAGTTCACCAGTGAGTCAGCTCCTTCATGTGGTGACACAAGGACTAGACTCTTGTCTGTTCCTCTTTACAATAAGAAGTGTTTTTCTGCCATTTGCTGGATGAATTACACATTACAGTGTTAAACACACATCTACAGCTACAAATTTATTTGATATAATGGCATATTAATATCTTTGGAACAAAAGCCAATATTTATTTACAAATATTATCTGAATAGTTGTACACAATCAGTCCAGTTCATTTTATAATGTATTGACATACTGTTTGTTGTGCTCTTGTTAGAACATCAGGGCAGTGTTGTTAAAATGCACTTACAATTATGTACAGTTGTCCCAAACAATAAGTTTAAAATTTTATGTTTATTATAAATTATATATTTATAGTAAATATCAACTATTTGTGTGTGAAATAATGTTTCAGTAAGTGAGCAGTCAGTCATCAGTGCTTGTATCTGCTGTGCTCAGGTTCAGGTTTGATGCTGAATATAAGCTGCAGTGTTTCTGTATCAATCTACTTTAAGTTTAGTGTGACTTTATCTCCACACTGACTTATGACTGACACGAGTCTGTCCTCAGTGAAGTGTCTCTTCACGCTGGAGGAGGAGCCCCGCTCATCAGCGCTGACACTTTATTGATATATATGGAGAAAATAAAAATGCTGCTTTCTGATTTGTCACTGATTGTGTTTGATGATTTCCTCTGTTGTGTCTAATAAGGTAACAGTGAGTGTTATTGGCAGCTGTGAGTCTCTCTCTCTCTCTTTAGGGGGCTGACAGGAGCCAGTTTCTTCAGTGTGTTTGAGGAGCAGACGAGAAACTTGTGCTGTGTTCTGAGTTGATGAAATAGTGGGTTCTGAGCAGAGAGATAATGGGTAATAATCAAGGTAATCTATTCTAATTTAAATTATAAATTGCTCAAAATAATTTGCATATGATTCTGCATTTACTTCATACTATGTTTGGTATATTTACTACATACCCTCTCTCAAATGTGTAGAAAGTATGAGAGTGATGTTGGTGAATGGCAGCAATCCCTGTGCTGGTAGAGTGGAGGTTCATCAAAATGGTCAGTGGGGAACAGTGTGTGATTGGGGTTGGGATATTGCTGATGCTGCAGTAGTTTGTAGAGAACTGGGTTGTGGGACGGCTGTAACAGCAACATTTAATGCTTACTTTGGAGCTGGATCTGGATCAGTTTCAATGGCCTTTGTAAACTGTAGTGGATCAGAGACTGCACTGAAACACTGCAGTTCAGAGAACGTGATTGCATGGTATTGTAATCATAGTGAAGATGCTGGTGTCGTCTGTTCAGGTAAGCTTCTCCAAACCTCAGCCTGTTACTATATCACTTTCTTTTAATTCTCACTCAAGCAATAACATACTTCTAAATACTGATGTGGAAAAACTTGCATCAGTATCAATCTTATGAAAAATTAATCTGTTTAATTGTTCTGTTCATAATAAAATATTCATCCTCGTTTCTTATTTTTGTATAATATTATGGAGAGAATCATCATTATACAGTGTATATCATGTCTTTATATTACCGTATTCAGACAGTCTGATTTGACAGACTTACATTGTTTATTTAGTGAATACTGTAAGTGTATATAAATCACATGTGGAAGTTAATGATAGAAATACTGCAGATTAAGTGAAATAATATAATACAAAATGTCAATATTTAATGACATTTTTCTCTGCTCCAGATAAGTGGATATGTTTAAAGAATTATCTGTCTTTATAATTAATAAAATATAATATAAATTAACATTAATTAATTTACTCTAGCACAGTAGATATCAGTAAAATAATGCAGCAATAAACTAAAGAAAGGATCAATATGTGGGTAAATCTAAATGTAAATCTGCCTTAACCCTTTGACGTGTACGATTACACTGGAGTGAACGTTCAGTTTTGCCAACTAATTTGCAGGGGAAGTTGCTAAAGGAAGGTCTACTTGTTGCTAAAAGTTGCTAAATGGGGTTGTGATGTCAACAAATTTTAAAAACAACCTTGAATTATTGAACACTTACACATTTTTGAACGATTACAATTTAAGTTTTTTTTATTAGCTAGTAAAATAGTAAAACTACACATTCTGAACATTTTCAGTATTGATTTATCACATTTTTTTTTTACCTGCATTTTAAATTATGCATAATATTTTATGTTTTCGGGTTACAACGGTTAATGGATAATGTCCTGGAAAATTACTAGTACCTTTTCCATTTTTCTAGATATTTTTCTTACAGTGTACTAATTACAGTGATCAACAATCATTAACAAGGTGTATCATAAATGAACAATTATTCAAATTTTAAATTATTCAATTATTATTATTGTTACTATTAAATTGAACAATTGCAAATAGCAGCTAACTTAATTCACGTGATGTGTGTACTGATAGGCATCTTTGGTTTCCTCTTTTTGTGTAATTTAGAGGGAATGTGTGCCTTTTTATCGTTTGAGTCACTTATCAAAATTTGCTAAAAGCTGCCAAATACATTTTAAAAATAGCTAAATTTGTAGCTAGTTGCTTTTTCCAGAAAACGTTACTTGGGTAGTTTGAAAAGTTTTAAACGTGTGAAGGGGTGAAAAAAAGAATTACATGTTCAAACAAGCCCGGAATGTGCGTGCATTGAGAGACACGTTCGAATTTGTCATCTTAATACAGTAAAACTGTGCGTCTTTACATGTATTAAACTGACACCTTAACACAACCAGAATGAGTGTGTCTACAAGATGGTCCTCACTGCAGAACACAAGATCCAGGGGGCGAGGCTGGATCCAGATCCAACTCCTTTCACCGTACATATCCCTAAACCTATGCTGCAGCAAAGTTAGATTGTACAGAGGGCTCATCTGATTCCGTGGTCTTGTCCCGATGGCCTTCTAGGAGACAGTATTCACTGGGGATCCGTCTCTGGGGCTCATCTAGTTGTCCCGGTCTCCACTGAAATTCAGGGCTGTAGAGGTCGTCTCTAGGTGCTGATCTACCATCTGGGCTGGATATGGACTGGATCTGGTGGCTACGGTGACCTTGGAATAAGAAAGAAACAAACTAATATGTGACCCTGGACCACAAAACCAGTCATAAGGGTCAGTTTTTCGAAATTGAGATTAGGCTACATCATCTGAAAGCTGAATCAATAAGCTTTTCATTGATGTATGGTTTGTTAGGATATGACAATATCTGGCCGAGATACAACTATTTGAAAATCTGGAATCTGAGGGTGCAAAAAAATCTAAATACTGAGAAAATTGCCTTTAAAGATGTCCAAATGAAGTTCTTAGCAATGCATATTACTAATCAAAAAGCTTGGATCTTTACTTAATATCCTGATGATTTTTGGCATAAAAGAAAAACCTATAATTTTGACCTATAAAATGTATTGTTGCCTATTGCTACAAATATACCTGTGCTACTTATGACTGGTTTTGTACTCCAGGGTCACATATTAGCGTAGATGCCGTTCTTCTTAAGATGTAACGAGTACATCATGTGTTATTGGAAGTGTTCCCAGTTCCAGTTGACCTAATTAATGCAGCCTAAAAATCCTTTAACGGATTTGAGTAATAGAAATGTGTGTGTTATGTGTAAGCCAGGTAAAAGAGATGTGCTAAACCATTCAGGGCTTTATAGGTAATTAGCAGGATTAAAAAATGTATACGATGTTTAATAGGGAGCCAGTGCAGTGTTGACAGAACCGGGCTAATATGGTCATACTTCCTGGTTCTAGTAAGAACTCTAGCTGCTGCATTTTGGACCAGCTGGAGTTTGTTTATTAAGCGTGCAGAACAGCCACCCAATAAAGCATTACAATAATCTAACCTTAAGGTCATGAACGAATGAATGAACGTTTCTGCATTTGACATTGAGAGTATAGGTCGCAATTTAGATATATTTTTGAGAAGGAAAAATGCAGTTTTACAAATGCTAGAAACGTGGCATTTCGAAGGAAAGATTGCTATCAAATAGCACACCTAAGTTCCTAACAGAGCAGCCATCAAGTGTTAGACAGTGTTCTAGGTTATTACATGTGGAGGTTTTAGGTCCGATGATTAACTGCGATTAATTTAGAAGTAAGAAATTACTCGTCATCCAGTTTTTTAAATCGACTATGCATTCAATTAGTTTTTCAAATTGGTATGTTTCGCCTGGCTGCGAAGAAATATAGAGCTGAGTGTCATCAGCATAACAGTCAAAGCTAACACTGTGTTTCCTGATGATATCTCCCAAGAGTAACATGTAAAGCGTGAAAAGCAACGGTCCTAATACTGAGCCTTAAGGTACTCCGTACTGCACTTGTGATCAATGTGATCCCTAAACCTACCCATCTCCACCCCCTGGATGTGGATGTAACCTTGCCCCCTGGATCTTGTGTGTTTCAGTGAGGGGCTACTGGTGTCTACCATAGACTGTAGGTGTCTACACATACAAAAGGAACACATTAAAAATTGCAGCATTAACATAGACAAACAGTGCATGTTAACGCAGTCAAATTTTGCACATTCTGTTTAAAGACTTTTGGCCCCATTCATTTTACGTACTACTCAAGTTCAAAAAACAGCATTCACATTATCCAGATTAACTGAACTCTGACGTGGGAGTGATATGTTGAGTATAAACTCATCTCTTTAGATACATTACATTACATAATATACTACTGTTGAATTTGTCAATTATCGTGACTCTCATTTTATAAATTGTCAATTGTTTTCCAGATTACACTAATCTCAGACTGGTAAATGGCTCAAATTCCTGTTCTGGTCGAGTTGAACGTCAGTACTTCAATAAATGGGGCACAGTGTGTGATGCATGCTGGGATATGAGAGCTGCCAGTGTCCTCTGTAGACAGCTGAATTGTGGGATTGCTGTGTCTGTTGTGGGATCAGACAGGTTTGGAGAGGGAAGTGGTGAAATCTGGGCTGATGA